TTCAATCCCTAGAGTTTTGTTTCTTTTACAATCTTGATTAAACTTCACAGAATAAAGGTGCGAAGTTTAAGTATTATATTATCTTTAATACATAAAGGTGTTGCTTTGAACTTAGAAAAGGTTAATAAGATGAAGTATGAAGCGGACACAACTCCCAATTTTGCTGCAGCATCTGGGATCAAAAAGGTTAACAAGAACAAAAAGTTGCCACCGACTCGAGGCAAAGTGGAAGCAACCCCTTATTTTAGGCCACAGAGAATTTATGGTCCGCTATCTTTGTTATGTAACCGAAGAACAAGATAATGTTGATTCAAAATCTAAAACTATAATTATAAATATTAGTTGATAATATTGAGCACCCTGAGGTTTTAATTTTTAATAGATGGATTGAAAAGATTGTTAGGGTAACATATAACTCCCTAACGCGAGCCTCCGTCAATATGAGTTAATAATATTGACAACCATATGATGTTTGCACATTTGTTTGATTAAGCACAATTTGTGTCCGTAGTTTACACGTCATAACATTCTGCATAAATGTGTGCACATTTTCTTAATCTTATCTTTTCACAAAACATGTGAACACATTACAACAGATGTGTAATCAGTTATCCAGTCAGACCTTTAGTACAAATATTGAGTTTTCATTGGTTGTTAGGATTTTCTCCAGTTATTAAATATGAGTGAGTGGTCCAAATACAAGTGTCAAGTATTTCAAATGTTGTCCTGGGAATTTATTTTGTCTTTTCAGAATTGGTCCTAACAAGTTGTTAAAAACTTCCCTAAAATAGCCAAACACGTGTAAGGCTTTGTCAGCTGGATGTTTAGTGGATCGTTGAGCAAGGATTCTATATTATCTTCTTCATCCTTGCATTCATGTTTGAACATTAATATTCCTTTGGTTGTTCTCTGAAATTCTTAAAGAGTTTATTCATTTTAAGTTAAATTCATTTTATTTTTTTGATCCTCAAAATACTTATCTTAACTTTGTTGTTTGAGTGTTGTCGGAACATGGTTCCATTGATGAAAGCTTCTAGGGATTTCAAGTTGTGGAGCTGAAGGTTGTCTTTGGCATTTGAAGCTTGAGTAGAGCTTGAGCTATTCAAGAAGTTATGGATGTAGGCAATTTGCCGAACCATGTAAAACCTCTTATGTGATTTACTTTATGTCCTTAATGATTGGTAATGTGTTGATGATGAATGATCATTCCCACAAGCACAAATGAACTCAATCAATTTATTTTGCATATGTTTAAATGAACTTAGGTAGTCTTAAACTTTCAACATATATTGAGAGAGAACAAGAAAGTTGCCATGAAATGCGCAAATGGCATCAATCACCATTCATAAATTCAAATTTGTATTTATAAATGTATAATGTCAAACCATAAAATTTTGTTATTATGCAATTGGTGATGTTCAATATATTAATTAATTATATGATTCATTTTGTATAAGATAAGTCCTAATAATTTGTGACTCCTCTTGTGTGGTATTTTAAGACAGCTCATCTGTTATTAATCAAAGATTAGTATACATGTCACATGCATTACTTATATCAATAAATTTAAACTGTGAATTACCATAAATTGTTTACTATGTATTTAAACAAGACATAAACTCCATGTGATTACTTATTTAATTGTCATTTGCAAACAAGTCAATAACTCTTTACTCTCATTTTTGGCTCTTTTTCTCATGCTATTTACTCTTTTGAAGACTAAAATTATTAAAATTTTTATTTTTCAAGATGCAACAATTAGTTATTTTCTATGTTTTATTAGTTTTAGATATATGTATTGCTTATTTCAATTTAGTTTATTTTATGGTTAAATTTTTTTTTTTCAATTTTATATTTTCATTTGAGAAAAAAAAGACATAAATTTTATAAGTATATTTTGCGTTTGGTGTGAATTCAATGAGTCGACGATAAGTAACTGATGCGAGGTATATTAGTCAACATTATTGCTTTAAACTAAGTACAATGAGAAAATCCTCTATAGCAAAAAGACTTCAAACTCCATAGAGAACCCCCAAACACTTGAGAAAATCTAAAACTAAGGAAAGGACCGACCTGTGCTCCGGCTGAGATGAGACTTTTTCGAAGGTGGCAACGAGTCATCTCCACTTGATCGTCCCCATATATCGTTTCTGCGTTTTCCTGTGCTCTTAGGTCAGGTGTTTTTGGCTCAACTTTTTGTGGTTCATTTGTTAACTGATTTCATTCAGGGGATATCGGCTGCTGAGCTATTTTTCTTCCATCTTCTCTTCATTAGAAGGAGAAACTTCCTTTAAACGAGTAACTACATTGCTCAAATCCTTCAATGCAGAATCAATAACTGCTTTAAGCTTCTTAATTTCCTCATTTCTCCGAGCCAGTGATCCCTCAGTATACTTCTTTCCGCCACTACTTGCTCATGCTCTGTTAGATATAACAATTTTTCTTAAAACTAAAACTTTTTTATTCCAATATAATAATAATAAAAACCATGAACTTTAGTAAACATTTCCCTCAGAAAAAGGTATCCTCCATTTTGATAACTGAATTGAATAGCAAAATTCAGTTTTAATCCAAAAGCAGAACAGTGTTTCCTCAACGTGAGGGACTGAAGCTCGAAGTGAGTGTCGGACTCAGTGAACGACATCGGCGAGTGGTCTGAGATTTTGGCGCTTGAACGCCGTCGATATGCCGAGAGCAGGGATCGAAGAAGAAGGTGTGCGAAAAGCGGTGAGAAGTTTACGGCGTTGGTCAGGGGCGAAGAGGAGGAAAGCTCATATGTGATCTGCAGAGATGTTGTGTGATCTGCGTAGTGCGATTTGGAGAGTCAAAAGATTAATGAGTCGATCAGAATGTTTCCATATTTGTGCGGTGGAAGAAGACAAGTATAGCATCGGACTCAAAAGTTACATGAATATTTTATTGTAAAAAATATATAGATTTTTTTGGGCAAGTTTCAGTGTACAGATGTAATACTGAAACAGAGGGTTTATCAGTAAAGGTGTTCCTTTTCTCTCTGTGATGGCTACTGTGTAGTTTCTTGGTCTTGGGTGAGAGAGAGAGAGAGAGCTGCTACAGAGTAGAGCTGCTGAGACTTCTGTTTGAGTTGGTGATTTTTCTTCTCTCTGCCACTACTTTACTTCGTCTTTCTCAGCTTTCAGCCTCGTTATTTCTCTTTGCTCTTCACTTGAAGCTTTTCTTTTCATTTTCCCATTTCGAGCGGGGGATTGCATCTTAAGCCGTAAAAAAGGAAGCTTTTTGAAACCGTTCTTCTTTTTAATGTATATTTTGTTTATTTTGTCAAGTTTCCATTTTTGGTTGTTTTAGGACTGCCATTGTCAATAGCTTTGGATACTCGTCAGTCTTACCAAGAGGGCAAAAAGTTTCAAACAATTTTTTTTTTTTTTTTTTTTCATTTCTGTAGAATTTTCCTTGTAATCCTTAAATTTATGCTAATTTGTCCAACTTTTTGTAACCCCAGTAATTTACACTTAATTTTGCCTGTGCAAAATGTGCAGTTTATGAAGGTCAGAAACTTTTATCATCTAGATCGAAATATTGTAGTGGGAGAAGGTAAAGTTTAGACTAAGGTAATTTGCCATGACCTCCCTGAGGTTGAGGAATATTTAGCTGGACCAAAAGTTGTTAAATTGTAAGGAGACCTCCTTCAAGGCCTTTTATATATTAACAATGTAAAGAAAAATTTGAGGGCTATTAGATGATTTAAGATGACAATTTTTCATTATTAATGAACTTGAAGGGAGTCTTTCTACATTAAAAAGCTTTGGATCTATTAAACACTTTCCCCAACGATAGGGATAAAGCCACGGTTTACATTGTAGTAATCTGTAGTTTTGGTAGAACTGTAAGTTTACTAAAACATCAAAATAGTAATGACATCCTGAAATTCTAAGATTATGCATTATTTGATGAAATGCATCTAATGTCTTCTTCTTGCTTTACGATTCTTTTATACTATGGATATGATAACTATGCAACACTTGTTTCTTATGATATTATCTACATCATTCATTTTATATGGTAATGTAACTAATGTTGATAAATCAATTACTATTTAAAAATTGATGGAAGTATTATTTTGTAATAAAAGAGAAATCTATCCAATTCAACTTATCTAACAATATAAAGTTCATTGTAGGTTTACAAAAAATGCCGACTATGAAATCATGAGGGATACCTTTGCATCCGGAAATGGTTCAAATGAAGAAGTTGAAATTGTCATGCTTCACCTTATGGTCAATGGCTGGTATGCTTAGATTTTACAATGTGTTATACTATGCTATTGTTCTTCAGATGGATTGTTTACCCGGGGAAAATCTTTTAGCTTCATTACCATCACTTTGGCAACTTGGCAAGAAACTGTTTTCCAAAGGCATGTATTAGCTACTATTGAATATAGATTGAATTGGTGCCTTATGTGTATTTTTATATGCCTATTTTAAAGATCAACAGATTTATTGATAAAACTTGTTATAAATGCTTCCACTTGACAGACAAGCAAACAAGAATTAGACACTTAAAATTGTATCAAGCTGCACTAGTGGTGATTGGAGCATGGCTGAGGGTATTTACAAGAACATAAAAATGATAAGAGCGAGGATATCAAAGGAAGGGGACACTGCTCTCCATATTGCAGCTGCAGCAGAGCAAACTGATTTTTGAAAAACCTGGGGATAATATAATAAAGAGGATTTAGCTACTACAAATAATGCAGGCAATACAGCTTTTTGTCTTGCTGCTGTGTCTGGAAATGTGGAACTGCTCAAGTGATGATGATAAGTGAAAAAAGAGGATACTCACAAAGAAAGGAGCTGGAAAAACAGCTTATTGTCTCTCGTTGAGTCCCAGAAGGTGGAACTTCCCAACATGATAGAGGAGAGTACAAACTTAGCTGATGTCCTGGAAAGGAGTAGAAACTTAGCAATGATCGAGGTAGAAATGAGATGTTACCACTTTACATGGCCGCTTGTTTGGCCATAAAGAGATGGTACAATTCCTTTATGAAGCCACTGATGACAAGTCATTATATGACAATGACCGCATTGAATTGCTTATCACTCTAATAAGAACGGTTTGTATGGTAGTAAAAGGTATTCTTTATATTTGGCTAATTGTAGTACACTGATATCTTTTAATTGAATTTACAATGTAAGATTGAAACCTTTGGTATAGGATTGAAATTCCATGTATGGTGGTCAGATTAATATCCTCCCTTGTATATTTTTTGACAAATGTCCCATTATTCTTTAGGAACACTGTGATATCCCATCAAGAGACATATGATTGACAAAACTAATGAAAGAACCCTTTCATAACACAAGTGGCTTGGTGAATACAAATCTGAAAATTTTCCTTTTATGAAACATATTAATAGTATTATGTATAGAACTGCATACTTCCACTATTTAGAATTGATACTATATCATCTCTAATGATGGTTGTTGTGTTCTCAGATGTTGCACAGGATTTGCTAGAGAAACACCCAGAGTTAGCCGTCACTTGTGATGGAAATGAGGAGACAGCATTGCTTGCCTTGGCTCGAACGCCTATTGCCTCTCAAATTCAGCAAGGATTTTGGAAACAATGTGTCAATTTGTGTTAGTCTCCTTAACCTTGACATATAAGTTACCGTTTTGGTTTTATAGTTGAAATATATTTACATGACGATTGTGATTAGGAGCGCGAACAGATATGAAAATTTGCACTTTAACCTTTCAGTTTAATTTTTCCTTTTGTTTCAGAAACCATTTTTGCAAACCTGCTATTACTAAATATTTTCTTAGCAAGTTGAATTTGATATAATTTCACAATATATTCTTATACTTAAGCACCTTGCCAAGAATCATTTGCAAGGTGTTCTGACGCTAAAGGATTTTTATGATATATTTCAAACTGCTAATTTATCTTGATTATTGCAATATAGATTTGTTCCGGACTTGTCACAAATCAAAATTTTGGCCATATGGCATTTATGCAATAATGTGATTTCTTTTATAGCACAACGAAGTGGTAATGTTGTGGGTACGGTAGGTTACATTGTTGGACATTTTTATTGTTGACTCGGAGTGTTAATCAAATTCCTAGTTTAACTTGATCATTACATATCTAGTTAAGTATTGCCTAGGAAATGTTTTCCTTGCGAATTGTTTCGGTAGTAAATCTCCTATGCTCTTTTACTTATTAGAATGAATTGCAATGACTTCTGTCATTGTTAACCCGGCCTAAAGATTTCTGTATGCTGAGTGTTGGCTAATCAATTTGTAGTTTCAGGTAGCAACACCAAGTTGCCTCCAAAAGCACTTGAACTAATCCAACGCCTTTGGGAACAAGTCATACTGTCAGATGAGACTGCAATTTCAAATATTATTAAAACTGCCCGACACTGATATTGTTGCTGCAGAACTAGGAAACATTGAGGTTCTAACCATACTGATACGTGAATACCCTGATTGATACTGGAAGTTGATGAAAATAATTATAGCATATTCATTTTGCTGTTATGAATCGTCATAGGGACATCTTCAAACCTATACATGAGATAGGTACTTTTAAGATTTGATAGTGCTTCCAGGATAAAAAAGACATAATATCTTGCATTCGGCTGGAATGTTGGCACCACCAGATCGGCTCAATGTTGTATCAGGAGCTGCTCTGCAACTGCAGCGAGAGTTGCTGTGGTTTAAGGTGAATGTTACGGTTCTCCTTTGTTTAGAAAGCAATATTCGTTAAGCTAACTGATAAGATCTTTTACAACATTTTGTAGGAGGTCAGTAAAATTATGCATCCATTGGATGCCCAGGATAAAAACAGTGAAGGGAAAACTCCTAGAGCTTTATTTACTAAGGAGCATGGAGAATTAAGGAAAAGGGAGAGAAATGAGAAGGACCGCAAACTATTGCATGATTGTGGCAACTCTTATTGCCACTGTGGTTTTTGCAGCAGCTTTCAGTCCCAGTGGCACCAAAGACGAGACAGGACTCCTCATTTTATTCAAAAACTTCCTTCAAATTTTTGTTATATCAGATGCAGTTTCACTAGTATCTTCCGCAGCGCATCTTAACCTTTTTATCCATTCTAACTTCCCGGTATGCAGAAGAAGATTTCCTCTCACAGTTACCAAAAAAGCTGGTTGCTGGACTTGCAACACTTTTATTATCAATAGCAGCAATGATGGTAGTGTTTTGTGCAACTATTTTTATTGTTTTCAAAGATGGAGTGCTGTGGGTTCCTATTCTTGTTACCGTAATCGCTTCTATACCGGTAATTTTGTTCACTAAGCAACAATGGTGTCTCCTTTTTGATGTGGTGCGTTTTACATATGTGAGTAGCTCTCTTTTCCAGCCACACAAACGTACCCTTTTCTGCCAATGGAAAGCAATGGAGTCGAAGAAGAGGAAGTAACTCAGTGTACTGATCAATTAATGGTACTACACAAATTTTGAATCTATGCTATTGTGATTTCTATTTGTCCATGATCTGATGCTGCAACTCTCAGGTCTTGTAACCCATTGAAGTAATAGTTTGATTAAATTGAAATCAAACTACTACTTCATTATTTGTTGGAAATGCAAGTAGAGGAATGGAAGTAAATCAGAAGTTAATCATGCCCTGAGTACAGGAGTGTAGGTTAGTTTCACTCACAATTCATTAGATTTAAGCCTAATTTTAATGACAATAGCACTCATTAAACACTGTTGTTTAATTTATCAAATCATGAACAAATCTGAACATTTTAATCTAATGTCAAGGGGGCCGAGCAGCCCTTGCTTGAAATAAGGTTAACCCTTTGCAGCCTGCTTCAAATTCAAACTGTATTTTGAAAGACATTAATGGCATTTAGTTAGTATTGTAATCCTTAGATGTTGAGTTTATCGCAAGATTCCTAAACTCTAAACACTCAATCTCACACAATTAATCAAGAATCAAACTGCAAAATCAAACAAGAAAGGCAAGAATTTTTACTATGGTTCACTTACCCAAATTGGATAAGTTATATCGACGTTGAGCTCTAGTAAATTTGGGGTTCGCTGCACTAGAGATCAAAATTTGTTACAAAATACAGCTAAATTAAACTCAATCAAATCACTCACTCCTTGTAATCCTCTCAAAGACTCACTCGTAACCTTTCCTATATGAGAATACTAGCCCAGATCCTTACAACCTGAGGAAAACATAACCCTCAAACACGATTACAACAATCACACCAGATTACAAGTCTATGAGAAAAATCAGAAAACCTAACAAAGAAGAACTCAATCGCAAAAACAGTGTGTAAAGGTTGTGTAATTCGACTTAAGGGCATTCTTTTATACTTGCACTATTGAAGAACCTTGGCCGTCAGATTTAGTAAGCAATCAATGACCATGATCAATCAATCTTAGAGCTTTATTATGAGACGGCATCATTTAAGTAATGTTCAACGACACCATTTTGTGCTTCATCATTCAACATTAGATTTAATAGAATAAAGTATGCAATAAAAGGAAGCGAGGTACATGTAAATAGCTAGACTTATGTACTTCAATTGTCAATGAATTACATACCTACAAAGGGTTGGACCATGGAAGGATACCCATAAGAGACTTTTCCAGTCAATGTAAACGGCAGAACTAGAACCAAGAGCCAAGCGGTCCCATCTCTTAATATCCCGCTTTGAACTTTCTCAGAAAGCAGCGGTGTCAGTTTCTTCAATTATATGAATAAAGTTTAGTGTGAAGGCGTTGATCAATCCAATTGCATACGTGGGTCAAGTCAGTTCCTTAAGATTTTAATAACTAAGAGCCACAAGAAAACGAGGCAGCGTTAGTGAAGTTGGTGGAAGAAGATCGCAGCCATCAGTTTTCAAACACAAGAAAATAAATGTACTCTTTGTTTCAACTTTTGCTTTTGACATTCCAATCATTTTACAGCACTACATGTTTGGATTTATAATTCATCTTGTTCTTGGTTGTGGTTGCTTGGAGGTTCAAAGTCTTTTATCTAATTGAGCTGCTCAGAACCAGAAACGGTGATGTCCTAACTCCTAATAAATCACTACATTCTTTTGTTGTTCTTTTTGTTGTACTACTGATTTTGCTTGTTCTCAGGCACTACTTTTCATTATTGAAGATAATGATATTGAACAACCTTCCTTCATCACAATATGGGAGGGGACTTTCAATTCAATCTTGTTTCCCTGAGATCAAATCTGTTGCAAATTCCTCTTGCAAATCTTCTGGGGAAGATGATGCAAGCTTAGGCATATTGTCTGACGATGACTTGAGCCTGAAAGATGCTTTTTGGTCCGCAACATTTCATCAGGCCATCAGAATCTTCCTTCAATTTTGCCTCTTGATATTCACATTCTCATCTTCAACCACATCATCAGCTGTAAAAGCCCAGTAACTTTCTGGAAGCTAAAGGATTGATGACCATGTCGTTTTAATCCATCATTTGGCCCTTTCAAGATTCAAGCAATCAAATGCCCTCTATTTCTGTGGAACCAAACCACACGAGCAGCAGAGACTGGTATGGCTGTTGCAAATTCATTCATTTCCCCAATTAATACTTATGTAATTATATGATGGAGAAATAAATACTCCAGCATGGCTCTCATAGTCTTGCTGTTTTTTTTTCTTTTTTTTTTCTTTTTGCAGGTGATGTACAAGGAATTACTTTACTGCTTTTTTGTTCCTCTGCATAATGCGGCGCTTAAGGCGATTGGGAGTTTGCAAGGGAGTTTTTGATTTTGAATCCACAACAGTATGTGCTAGCATCACAAGAACCAGGAAACAGCTCTTACATTGCTGCTGGAGCTAGACATCAATATTTGTCCAAGAGCTTGTGAACATTATGAAAGCTGAAGACCTGGCACTGCCGAGCAAGGTTGGAACACAGCCCTGTTTTTGCTGCCATATCCGGAATCAAAAAGATTGCAGAAGGGATGGTTAATAAAACAGAAGGTTGCCATCAATTCAAGGCAGTAGGGAGCACACCGTTGTGTATGGCTGCTTTGTTGGGCCACAGAAAATGGTCTGGTATCTTTATTCGTGACTGAGGAAGAGTATCTAAAGAAGAAGATCGTGTTGACTTCTTGTTGCGTCATCAATGCAGACCTCTGGTACCCACCTCTTACCTTCGCTATTTCATGTTGCAACTTAATTTATATTTCTAGAGAAGCAATTGGATTGTGTTTGTGTAATTTGACAGATGTGGCATTGGACTTAATTAACATCATCCTGAGTTAGCTGTTGCTCGAGATGGAAGAGAAGACGCTCTTCATGTATTGGCACGGAAGCCTTCAGCTTTGTAAGTGGAGTCGGCTTGAATTTGGCAAGTGCATTTACTCTTGTTAGTAACTCCATTACAGGCCATTTCTCACTGCCATTACTCTTGCACATTAATCGTATCTGCTTATTTATTCCTTCTAAAAAATAAAAGATTTTGGACAAAGAGGTGACTGTGTCCTGCACATTCAGTTCCACGTTTCAGGGCAATCCTTGACAAAAAAGTTGATGCATCTTCAAGCTCTAGAATTGGTGAAGCAACTGTGGGAGCAAGTGTTGTTGCTAGATGACTACAAAATTGGAGAACTACTTCGGAAACCTTCAAGATTGTTGTTTACTGCTGCAGAGTTGGGGAATGTTGAATTCATAAAAGTGCTGATTCAGAAGTATCCTGACCTTATTTGGAAAGTAGATGATCACAGTCGAAGCATATTTCACATTGCAGTGTTGCATCGTCAGGAAAACATTTTTAATCTGATTCATGAGATTGGCGCTCATAAAGATTTGATAGCGGCTTATGAAGATGAAAATAACAATAACATGTTGCATTTGGCTGGAAAGCTTGCCCACCCAGATAGAGTCAAAATTGATTCTGGTGTAGCTCTGCAACTTAGACGAGAGTTGCATTGGTTCAAGGTTAATAATTACTTTTCAACTATAAAACTTGCACTTCATTGTAATTAGCTTTGTTTGGAAATAACATGTAAATGAAGCAAAACCTGAACCCAATTAACCATTTTCTTTCTGGGTCTGAATCTTGATGGACTGTTCCTTTTAATCTGGCAGGAAGTCGAAAAAGTTGTTCAACCATCTTATAGAGAAACCAAAAATTCCGAGGGGAGGACACCTCATATTTTGTTTTTGGAGGAGCATAGAAGACTTGTTCGCGAAGGGGAAAAGTGGATGAAAGACACTGCATCTTCATGTATGGTTGTTGCAACACTTATTGCAACCGTGATGTTTGCTGCAGCCTTCACTGTACCAGGTGGCAATAACAATCTTACAGGCAAGCCTGTTTTTCTACATCACTGGTCATTTTTGGTTTTTGCCATATCGGATGCATTGGCACTATTTTGCTCTGCCACTTCAATATTGATATTCCTCTCCATTCTCACCTCGCGCTATGCAGTAGAAGATTTCTTGCATTCATTACCAAATAGGTTGATAATAGGGCTTGCAACTCTCTTCATCTCTATAGCAACCATGATGGCAGCATTTGGAGCCACTCTTTTCATTGTTCTAAGTAATGAATTTGCATGGATAGCTATTCCAATAGCCATTGTTGCTTGTGTTCCTGTCACCCTATTTCCTCTGCTCCAATTCCCCCTTCTTTCTGATATGATTAGTCACTTGTAAATGTTAGTATTTTTTCTATTTCAAATCATCACTTGTATTAGCTCACTGCAAAACAATCTTTTCATTATGTATTGGAAATGCTGAGTAATGAACTAAGATTCATTTAATTTTTCAAATCATGATAAACAAATCCCAACTCTTTATCTAATTGCTCAATCACTCACACGTAAAACCTCTGATCATGTAACCAACTTATAAACTTCATATTAAGTTTGCTTCATTGAAACCAATGTTTGACACCTATATATAAATGCTAAAACTAAAATATAACAACTTGAAATATTTCTCAAACAAAACTTGAAAGAATTTGATAAGTAGTTTGGTAAAAAACATAGAGCAACTTTAATATATCCTACATGGGAATTTAATTAGACATAATATTTCTCCTTTAGGAAGACGCAAATTGCAGAAATCCCTGCTTTCTTCTTAGGAAATGTTATCATCATTTGGCATCTCCTTCACTTTATGAGGCCTTGAGCCATATATTCTTCTCTTAAACTTCACTTCAGGCCATTTGAGCCATATATTCTTCTCTTACTCTTCACTTCCGGCCATTTGAGCCATATATTCTTCTCTTACTCTTCACTTCAGGTAATTTGAGCCCTATATTCTTCTCTTGCTCTTCACTTCAGGCAATTTGAGCCCTATATTCTTCTCTTACTCTTCACTTCAGGCAATTTGAGCCCTATATTCTTCTCTTACTCTTCATCAGGCCATTTAAGCCCTATATTCTTTTCTTACTCTTCACTTCATGCCTTTTTTTAAATATAAATTTAGCTAATAATAGATTGTATCCAAGGTGCCAAAAGAGGCAAGTCTTTCAACCCACTTCTTCTTCTTCTTGTTTGATTTGTAGAGTCTTAAGTTAGACTCATTATTTTTGTTCTTTCAGTTTGCTGCATGTGCATATATAATTATTATAGTAGCTAAGATTTTTCTTATTATGGTACGTATATATAAGATCTTGAAGTGCTTGAGATGAATGACTATTATTCTAATTAATATTCATTCCCAATTTGAATCCAATTAGAACACAAGGTTCATATTATGCTGCAAAATTCATTATCTAATACTTATAAAGTTCATTGTAGATTTACCACGAATAAACGAGAAAATAAATCATGAAGGATTACACTGCTGCATTAGGAAGCACCTCAACTGCAGAAAATGTTCAGATTGTGATTGCTCCACCTTATCAAAAAATGGATGTTACGATTTGACTTTGCAATTAATGCTGCATTTTTCTTTTTAGTAAGATGCATTTTCTGAATACCCTTTAGTGTCTTAGGGCAAATGTGATATGCACTTCCTAAGTTCGCGTTAATTTTTTTCCATTAATCTCTCTTGTTTTTATGTAATTATGAAGGGCTTATGAAGTTCGAGGGTTAAAAATAGATATTAAATTTTTATTAATGGTTAATTTCACAAATTCCTCTTATTCTTGATTCACTTTGTATTATAAGAAAGTCTTATATACATAATGTTACAGTACAATTAGCCAATGATTATATATCACATCAATCCAAGTATGTATATATATAATCATTAGATTTTTGTATTGCAATAAAATGTATTGAAGACTTTCTCATCTTAAGACGATCATGTGTGAAATTGAATCTCTCAATAGTAAACACTTTTCTTCTTCTTCTTGTTATTATCAAATTCATATAAATCAAAGGCAAAGAATATCCATTTTTTGTTTTTTTCCAATTTTTGGGGGGAATTGATATGTCACTTTAAGGCTCTTTGTTCTTTAAGGAAATAAAGATAGAAGATTCATATTATCACACAAGATATAATTCTACAGTACAATGCAGACATTCATTAAAACTTAGATAACACATCATGTGACCATTTTATTTATTTTATAGGACGTCCCTGATATATGATATCTTCACCTACATATATTGGTATCACTTATTGCATTTATTATTTCCTTTGTAATTCCAAATATATATATATGGCTAATAATCTATCCATAAATGTCTTTTTTTTTCTTTTCATTTTTGTTACTTAATTTTAGAAAAAAAAAATTGTTTTAATAGGTTATAATGGTCTATTCAATAAATTTATCAAGAGGAATTACATACTAAACATAATAAACTTTTTATATATCAAAATCCAGTCAAAGTTTAATGTGAATGTATCGGTGATTCTTCCACGATAAAAGAAGAATCAGTGCGGCCGCTGTAAAATTCTATCTCATTCTCAAAAAAGTCTTTTTATTATGTTGATTAAAGGCTATAGCATCCCTTTTATTATGTGTAACAAAATTTTTATGCATAAACTTGTTCATTTTTCCACTTGACAGAAATTGAAAAAAAAAATAGGCACTTCCAATTGTGCTGGGCTGCATTGGAAGGCGATTGGAACATTGCTGAAAGAATCTACAAGGAAGATAATATTGATACACAAGTTAAGCTATCAAAGGATGGGGACACCGCTCTCCATATTGCAGCTGCAGCAAGGCGCACTGGTTTTGTGAAAAAGCTGCTTGAACAAATGAATAAAGACGATTTAGCCATAAAAAATAATGCTGGCAATACGGCCTTTTTTCTTGCAGCTGCGTCCAAAAGGGTTGAAATTGTCAAGGCTATGATGGGGAAGAATGAAGACGTGGTAAAGATTAGAGGAGACAATGATATGTTACCGCTTCACAAGGCAGCTCTAGAGGGAGACAAAGAGATGGTAGAATATCTTTACGAAGCCACTGGAGATGAGTTATTAGATAATAATGATCGCTTCCACTTGCTCATCAATCTAATAAACCATGGTTTGTATGGTAAGTTTAGTTTTAATATTTATATTCGGGCTAGCTAATTAAAACTTAAATCATACTCTAATCCTATGAATCGAACATGGTTTGGGCAGCTTAAACCACTCGGTTGAGCCCTCGGGGTAAACAACTTAATACATATTCAACTTAACAACCCCTCAATTAATCATATATTAATTATATAATTTATGATGCTGATCATTGTTTTCCTAGATGTTGCATTGGATTTGGTGAAGAGGCATCCACAGATAGCTCTTGCACGTGGTAAAAATAAGGAGACAGCATTGCATCTCTTGGCACGAATGCCTGTATTGACACGTATTTTAGATTTTAACTCCATTAGACTTTGCAAAGATTCAGCCATCTACACGTGTTAGTTTTCTCTAGTCATTAGCAATTTCAGATTGCTTTGATTAGTTTTTGTTTTTTAATCATTATATTAATATATAATTGTAAGAAAAAAGGGTGCTTAATTTCATTTTGTTTTAGAGCAGATAATGAAGTAAAAAGAGACGTGATAAAGAGATGTCCTCCAATGTTTGGGAGGCAGCGGATGAAGGAGAGGAATGAGCTGAGCTTGAGGGATCGAATGAATGAGAGGGATGAACTGATGAATGAGAGAAAGCAAAGGCTCGGGTGGGGGTATCGGATTAATGAGACGAAACGTCAACTGCTTTGTGGGTATTTATGGTTGCACTACTAGAATCACCCCAATATTAAATACAAATGAAAATTCTCATGCGTAACTTAAAATATAGAATTAATTTCAGTTAACAAAAGTTAATTATTGTCTATGAGCATTTTTAGTGCGTCATTAAGATTTAAGAAGATAAATCAAGTTCCTATTTTATCTTATATATTAATTAAAGTATTTAATTACTCTTGGATAATCTTTTATTAGAAATGTGCCATAATCCTCTCTTCTTTTTTCGGTTTAGGATTAATTAATCGTTTCTCTAATATTTTCCTCATCCTCAATTTTTCTGTAAACTAATGTTGGCTTAACTAAACTTCTTGTCTCAGATACCGGTCAAGAGATTCCCGATTCAGCTTTTGAACTAGTTGAACGTCTTTGGAAACAAGTTATGCTTTTGGATGACTCCCAGATTTTGGAAATTATTAGAAAACCTTGGTCTCTAATATTCGAGGCTGCAAAACAAGGAAACCTTCGGTTTCTAAAAAAAATTTTCTCCACATATCCTGATCTAATGTTTGAAGTTGACGAAAATCATTACACCATACTTCATTTTGCTGTTATGTATCGTCGCCTTAACATTTTCTACTTCATTTATGACATCGGTCGATTTAAGGATATGGTAGTTCAGGACACAGATAAAGAAGGGAACAATATCTTGCATTTGGCTGCAAAGTTGCCACCAATAGATAGACCTGATATTGAATCGCCTGCATTACATATTCAAATGCAAATTGACAAGTGGTGGTTCGAGGTGAATATTAATTTACCCCCGTCCTTTTTTTGGAAAAAAAAAATATATTTTTTGCCTTGATTGATAAATGTTTTGTAACTACTATAGGAAGTGAAGAGAATTACGCATCCAATGTATGCTGAAGCTAAAAATAAAGATGGGAAAACTCCTAGAGCTTTATTTACTGAACAGCACGAAGAGTTGAGGAATAAAGCTGATAAATATACCAAGAAGATAGCAACTGCATGCATCATGGGGTCAACACTTATTGCCACCGTGGTTTTTGCTGCACTTTTCACGTTACCAGGTGGCACCAATGAAAATACAGGGACTCCACATTTTGTCCGAAGAGCTTCCTTCATAGTTTTTACAATATCAGATACTATAGCATTGCTATTGTCCTCTTTCTCCATAATAGTGTTCTTAGCTGTTATCTCTTCCCGATGTGAAGAAGCAGATTTCCTTAGCCGGGTGCCTTGTAATTTGGCTTTGGGATTACACTTACTTCTACTTTCCGTAAAAGCAGTAATGGTGGCGTTTAGTGCAACTGTGTTCATTGTCTTCAAAGATGGGTTGCTATGGACGCCTGTTCTTCTTACTATAATGGTTATTTTCGCAATCGCCACGTACGATGGTAGAGCTTGGACTATCTATGGAGAAGTGATGCATTATATCTATTATAACAAATGAGTCACTCATTGTTTCTTATCATGAATGTTATAAGATGTAATATTTATCATTTTCCGTTTTATTAAATCGGAAATAGATTACCCAATTGTGGCGCTTTACATTCTGTCTTATTAGAACCATGTCTTACTAATTAGATTGATTGATTGTTGATCTTATGATGAAGGTACTACTATGTTACCTTTATTTGGCTTTCCTTGAAAAAAAAATTAATAAATACGATAGAATATTATGATTGACTTTTTAATTCTATAACTAAAAGTGGCAATGAATAAACCTTATCAATTACTATATTACCTTCATATCCCTTACAGTATACAAAAATTTATATTTAGCCCGTTTATCGTACTTTCTAATACATAAAGATGTTGCTTCAAACTTAGAAAAGGTTAATAAGATGAAGTATGGAGAGGAACACAACTCTCTCGAATAAAAAAGGTTAACAAGAACAAAAAGTTGCCATCGAGTTGAAGCAAAGTGGAAACAACCCCTTATGTTAGGCCACAGAGAATCTAATGGTCCACCATCTTTGTTCTGTGACCGAAGAACAAGATAATGTTGATTCAAAAACTAAAACAGTTATTATAATTATGAGACCACCCTGAGGTTTTAATTTTTAACAGATGGATTGAAAAGATTGTTAGGGTAACATATAACTCCCTGATGTGAGCCTCCGTCAATACATATATTGAGAGAGAACAAGAAAATTGCCATGAAATAAGCACATGACATCCATCTCACCATTCATAAATTCAAGTTTGTATTTGTAAAATTGGTGATGTTTAGTGTATTAATTAATTGTATGATTCATCGTGTTATTAATAAAAGTTATTATATATGTTACATGCATTATTTATATCAATAAATTTAAACTGTGAATTAGCATAAATTGTTTACTATAATATTTAAAGAAGACAAGAACTCTTATCTAATTGTCATTTGCAAACAAGTCAATAGAGCTGACAAAACGGCATTCAATAGTTCATACTACGTGCTTTACACCGACTTATAATCTTATATAATAACACTTGTTTTATACTATAATTATTAATTATTTAATCCTTGTTTATTTTATTAATTATTTATCGTTGAATGCCATGTGACAATATATGGTAAAGCACATGGCATTTTGACAAGTCAACTGTCTCGCGCCTTTTAAATTGTATCACACTGAAATGGGAGAACGACATTTTGCCACCTAAGGTTTGGCCAAATACATTTCTCATCCGTCAAGTTTCAAAATATCATTTTCCATCCCTTCATTAGGTGTTGTTAGTGTTTTCTATTAATATTTAATTAAAAAGATAAAAATCCTCTTAAATAGTTTATTTTTAATTTATTTATTATAAATTAAATTTTAGTTAAGTTAAAATCTTTACTTGATTATTTATTAATTCAAATGTAAAAATGTTTTTTTTTTTCCTTTTGTTTATTTAATTATTTAGAAATATTGATTTCCTATGTTAATTAGTAAAAATGAAAAACATTATATTATGAAAAACATTATAAATTTAATAGATTATTGAATAATAGTGATGGGATATTCATGACATTATAAATAAATATTAAGATCATTTAACTTTAAATAATTTCATAGCATTACTCCTAATTTTTTAGTTAGGGTTAACTATTTTTTCTTTTTTAACTTTTTATTATTTGACTTTTTGGTTAATTAAAAAATAATAAAAAATTTATAAAGTCAAATATTTAAGGGTATCTTTGTCTTTTCAATTTAATATTAACCGAAAATATAACAGAACCTAACAAGAGTAGGAAAGTGTCATTTTGAACATTGAATGATGGAAAAGTGTCGTTTTCCAAATCTTAGTAGGGAAACAGTCGTTCTCCCAACCGAAAGTCACATTATCTTTTGATGATCTTCAAGGAAATTTTTTATGAGTACTCAAATCTCTATAATTTCCAAGGATCCAGGGGATCGGAATCCCCGTTTGTAACAAAAACTCCACATGATTGATTGTTCTATAATTAATTCATACTATGTTTTAATATTAATTAATTTATAATTTAATCTGTGTAACAACACTTATCTTATCATTAATCAACAACATCGTGCTGGGAAAGTCGACATATTAATTCTATATATTTGTTCTAGCCAATACTAAAATGAGTTGTCTCTTTTTACCCTGCTAAATGAAATTAAAATATATATTATTATGGTTGGTTGTCTATATTTATTGTTTCTTTAGTGGTCATTTGAGTCATGCAAGCAAAATAAATATTTATTCTGGTGTCTTTTCTATCTTTTTGAAAACCCTAAAATAATTGTTCCCTTCCTGTTTCTTAATTGGCTCCGTCACTGGGTATTCTATTTAAGTTCTCTGAATTTCATGTAACATCATTTCTATATGAGTACTTTATAAATTTGTTTTCTCTTGCTAAGCTAGAGGTTTATCTACAGAAATTTTATTGAAAATTTTTTATTGATATTAAAAAAAATTGAACATTAGTAAAGATGAGTTTTCTTAATTAATATTGCTACCATACGCCTGGCTGTTAAGGATTGGTTTTAAAATCCCAACATTGAAAGAACTCCTTCAAGAAATTTAAGTATTATCCAGTGAACAGTTGTCCTTTGATTCAATGTGAACATTACTGAACACAATTATTAGTTAAATTACTATCTTATAATATTTAATTGTGTTATATCTTGAAATGAGTTGTACAATCAATATCAAAAAATGACTAACAATTTTCAGTTGAGTAATTGGTCAATACATGCCACCAGAGAAAATTGTTAAACATAATCACCTTCTCTTTGGAAGTGTATATAATCTAGTTACCTCAGTCTTTCACTGAACTATCTAGGCTTTTCATCCGAATTTCTCCTATAAGAGCTGAAGATATATAGCAAGCCATACTTCAAAAGAGGTAAGCTTTCAAAACCACTTCTTCAATGTAATTTGAAAGTCTGTTTTCATCCGAAAATATGCAGTCTTATCATTTAAATTAAACTTAGATCTAAATACATTTACTATTCCTTGCAGGGTTTACTGCAAAAAATGTCTAATCATCAAGCGAGTATTAACATTATACAGGAAAGCCCTTTGTTGCAAGAAAATGGGATTGAGCCTGTGACATCCCCACAAGAACATTCCCTTATTCCGATAACTACATCAAAACATCAGTCATCTGATCAAGAAAAACTTCAGAATATGGCATCCCCTTCTCATGTCAAAGTTGGTAAGATTGGATGGTATCTAGTAAATTGTTGATCATTTTATTTTATTTTTTTAAAGATGGATTATATTTATCGGTATAAATATTAATGTTGAATCTCCATCTACAAACTTAAGCTTTAAACTGCTTTAATGATAATTTAAAGAAGTTTCCTCCATCCTAGAATATTGAAGGTGTAATGATAGAAGAGAGAAAAAAAATAGGGCTATATTCAAGCATAAAAAGACTCTCTACTCCATTTTATTAAGTACAAAGCATTTCAATTTAAAATATGATTTTTTATTTTTTATTAATTATCAAAAAAAGTTTCATCAAATAATTTTGTGTACACTCATTCTTTTTATTTCTAAACATAGTATACTTTTGTGGCACGATCTCACCGACTTCTTTTGTTATAGTGGTGAGACTATCCAATAAAATAGTCCTACACAATTATATAAGAGCTTAAGATTTATCTCAAAATTTTGACTAATGTAGTAGGAAGGATACAACAATTGCATAAAAAAATCAGTCATCAAAGTTTAACTTTTGCTAACTGTAATTTTTTTTCTTTTAATTTAAATCCTTAGAGTTTAATGTGGATATTTGGAAGGAGTCTTAAATCTTAATGTTACTATTGGGAATTTCAAGGAAAAACAAATTTATTTCTCTACAATAGATCTATTATATGATTTTATATAAGCTATGCTTTGTATTTCATTGGAATTAATGTAATATAATTTTCTTAAGTTACTCATGGTTACACCCAAATAGACTGCTGGACGTCAAGAAGCATGTGTATCTTTAACAAAAATATTATGCATAAACTTGGTATAATTTCAACTTGACAGAACGTATATTTTCAACTTGACAGAAATTAGAAAGAGGAATAAACGCTTCGAATTGTACCTGGCTGCACTGAAAGGTGATTGGGACACATTTCAAATAATTACCATGAAAGATAAAATTAATATCACTGCTAAGCTTTCAAACGAAGGGGACACAGCTCTTCATATTGCAGCTGCAGCAAGGTGCACTGATTTTGTTAAAAAGTTGCTTCAGTATATGAACAAAAAGGACTTATCCATAAAAAATAATGCTGGCAACACGGCCTTTTTATTTGCTGTTTCATCCGGAGAGGTTGACATCGTCAAAGCTTTGAAAGAGAAGAATGAAGACTTGGTAAAGAACCGTGAGAAAGATATGATGGAGAAGAATGAAGACTTGATCAGTGTTTTTTTTCTTTGTGTTAATCACAAAATTATATAATAACATTTAAATTAATATTCAAAGAATTTTTTAATTGTAATGATTAATTTGAATTTTTTAGTTGTTAAGATAATATTTGTTATTTACTTAACATTTTTTGAATTTGTCTTTCTAAAGCCATAATTTATGAAATTTTTTTATTATTATTATTATTTTGTAGGATGAGAAAACTATACTCTTTCGCCTATACAAAAATTTTATCATTATTATTATGCAAATTATCAAAAGTAATTGTATATAAGAACAAAGGTGCTTTCATGTTGTTTCAAAGCAGATAATGAAGTGAAAAGAAAGGTGATAAATTCAGTGTTGGGGAAAAAGAATGTGCCGAAGAGCTTCAGGGATCGGCTAAATGACAGGGAGCAACAGAGAAGGAATAAGATGCATTGGACTGATCGGACTAAGAAGGCCAAATGGAAAGTCAATTGTGGGTATTTGTTTAATTGTTTGTCTTTCTTAATTTATTTACTTAACTTTGTTCGTGGTGGGATGACGAGGTTTTTATTTATTTTTATCAAATACGATATTGAAATAGTGAAAACTGAGATATTTTTGGGGTGCACTGCTAGAATCACCCTTAATAATATGTGAAAATGAAAATTCCCGTTTGCAATTTAAAATTTAGACTAAAAATCTAAAGTTAAATTCTAGTTAACAAAGGCTACTTCTTGTATTAAAGAGTTAATAAAATAAATAATTCTTGATATGTAAATAAAAAGTTGATGTAGTAAATGACATTGGGATAAAAAATTTGGATTTTATTTAGGA